AGTGGTAGATGTGTGCTTGTCTGTACATACAGTCAGCGTCAACAAATATGAATACCCTGACGTTTTGACGATTTTTTATCAATAGTTTCTATTTCAGATTTGTTTTATTTTTTTATAAAAATATACATAGTTCATTCAACGGTAAAAGCCAGCAGAATCATTTGTTTTTATTTCATATAGAACTCGACAAAAAAATTTGCATAAACATTTTTAACTTTTCATTCAATATGGTGCCCGTTTTAAGTCTCTAAAACTTACTGTTGATTTCTAAAGATTTTTAACTTAAAAATATATTTTGTTAATGCGTTATATGGCAGAAAATGCGCAACACCCTTGAAAAAAAAAATTCTCAAAAATTAACGGTAATTTTTAAAGGCTTGGAACTTGCACCTTATTATTATTAATAAATGGGTTGCAAAACTGCATACTCAAAAATTGTCTAAGAAATCAAATTGAAAAGTGAGTACTATTTTTGCAAATGTTTTGGTATTTCTTAAATGTTCCCAAATTCTATGTATATGAATTAAAAAAAAAATATGGTTATGCTGCTTTTTGCTGTTGAATGAACTATGTTAAAAAAGAAATATGAAAAATTTGCCATGGAAAATAACAATAAATAATATCGTCAAAATATCAGGGTATTCATATTTGTGACGCTGACTGTATTTATGTGTGAAGAAAAGAAGCCAGTTAGCCACCGTCAAGCAAGCGAAAGCCGCTGCAAAGAATTGAGAATGGAAGCCATACGCGTCAAATTCCTTGAAGGATTCACTGAAGACGTCAGGTCGAAGGACTCAATGCCAGCGGCTTGGCGCTAGTTGCACCACCACTGCTATTTAGCTGTTCCATTTGGGTCTCCATTCTTTTGCTTCGCTTATTTGCCATAGCACCACTATGCAATTTCAATTTGCCAACACGCTTGGCTCTGTTTGCGAATGCTCGATTGCACCTTCATTTAGCACTTAGCTTGTCTTCATCAAGGAAGCTATATACATATGTACATATGTATGAACATTTGTTTGTATGAGGTGGGAGGATGTTTGCTAAATTCATAAAAATGCAAGGCGTAGATTAAATTACAAGAGAATCAGCAAAAGACGACAGACAGTTCGTAAATTTGCTGCAGCGGACTCTTATTTCTGTTGACAAACGCTAAAGGAGGAAAGACTGCATAAGTAAACTAAATATTTGCATTTGAAATTTACAAAGACTGCACTGCTGCCATACATGCATATGCACATATGAACAAGTATATAATTTCCTGCAAATGTTCGGTGTATGTATTTGCACAAAACGCTATTAGCATTTGTTGTTTGAAAAATTTTCCATTCAAAAATAAATGCGCATAGGTGTATGCATACATATAATTCACGCTCGCGGATTAGTTTTAGACCTCAGCATAGAAAATAATGTACAGAAAAATTTTGGTAGATGCCTTAATCATAGGTGGCATTACCGGCCGGATAACGTTCACAGTTTTGGCGCTCGAATAAGTTATTCCCCACCAAATTTCTTTTTAGCAAAAGTAGAGGTTGCCAGGTGCATACCTGGCAAAACTGTCGATTGAGCTACGCAAAAGGTCGAAAGAATTTGTCTCTTTGACCAACGACAATTAACGCCAGACCCCGCAACAGATGCTACACCAAGCCCAAATAAGATGTCAGAGCAATTGCTTTGCTCCCCAAGGTGGACAATAAGCAGCGCCAAAATGTTCTGTGCAGTGAAAACATATTATCGTCTGTCATAAATTGTCACATCTCTGTAAACCAAAGTTTGATAAATATAGATGATAAAAAAGTACCCGGAGTACCCTCATTTTATTTTCATTATTATTTTCATAAAAATAGTTTTTGAGTCGTTTAGAAAGCCTTCACAAAAATTTAGCTATCCCTTTGCATTACTTTAGGAGTAGGGAAGTTAGTGGCAAAAATACGTCGATGTTTTTCTTTGCTTCGATGCATCGAAGTTTACATTGATATTTTTCGATGCATTGAAGTGCATACATCGATGCATCGATTTATCTCCATGTTCTTCTTAACCTTCTTCTTCATCTTTCCTTTCATCTTCAACTTCATCTTCTCCTCAACCTCCATCTTAATCTTTTTCTTTATTCTTATACGTTGCCCTTGATTGCGTCTTCTTCATTATCTTTGTTTATGTCTCTATCGTTATGCCCAGTTTTGCCACATATGCGCTTTTCCTTCCAAAACCGGTAGGTTTGTTTCCATTTGGTAGGTTGGTATAAAAATTGATAGGTTGTATCTCCAAACATTTTAGCAACCTTTAAAAGTGCTTGTTAATGAACCCACTAAGTCCACCATTGTCAGATTTACCAAAGAAGGAAAGTTAACTTGACTAGACCCACCTTGGCAGGGACGGAAATTCAGTTCTCAGAAGAGGCGAAGTATCTAGGGATGACTCGAACACATGGCTCAGTTGGAACTCACATCTCTTGAATGTTACAAACAAGGCTACAAGTGCGTTTTATGCCTGTCACAGACTTCATTATAAGACTTGGGAACATCCCCAACTCTAACGTATTGTTCTTTCAATACGGTAGTAAAACCGGTTGTTACATATGCGACACTGGCCTGGTCACCAAAAGCGAAGCAAGTAAACGCGGGTGCCACATTGAGCAACTGCACTGACTGGTCTGCGTTGTCATAACAGGAGCTATGCGCACCTTGGTGTCATAACAGGCATTCCTTCTTCGTTTATTCTGATTGAAAAAGAGGCCTGCTGGAGCATCGTATGGCTGCTCAATACGTACGGCTGCCATCAGCATGAAAAGTGGAGATCTTGGGGTCATGTGGAGGTTCCCAAGTAATTCCTGGATGATCTCTAGTTATCCTTCTAAAAACCTCATAAGGTCAGAACTCTTATAAGGGAGTGCTGTGAAGTGATAATAATTATGATTGACGAAGGGCAGGCGTACTTGGACCAGGATTCCAAGAAGGTCTGCCAATGGGCACATACCCAACGATAGGCAGGGCTAAAGGCCTAAGACTTGTTAACAGCTGTAAAACTCTTTCGAGCTACCTGGGAGCACACAATAGCGTAGCGACATAAAGGGTTTAAAGGCATCGAAAGGAATAACTTAACATTGAAAAAAATTAAAAACTTCAAAAAAAATTTGGTAGGTTTGGATTGGTTTTGGTTGGTTTTGTCTCTCCCCGCCCTCAGTGGCGTTCAACCCAACTGTTTGTTTTCTATGCATTTTCCATATACCATCTACACTGTGGCGTTAAAAATTTAGTCCAGAACTAGACAATACGAGGTCAGGGGAGCACCCAGACCCGAGAACAGTTCGTCAAGGCTTCCCTATGTTGCGAGCTCGTCGGCCGCGCCGTTTCCAACGATTTCACTGTGGTTGGAACCCAAATAAGCTTAATACCATAATAATCCGATGCGGTCGATAGGGAGGTGAAACAATGTCTCTCGGTTCTCGACCAAACCATCAGAGAGCCCATAGCCTTAATAGCTGCTTGGCTGTCGGAATAGATATTCCGGTTTTGCGGCTACCTCTGCCTTGGCTGAGTGCCAATGGCTGATGCGGTAGCCTGAATTTCAGGTTGATGGAGAGTTCTTCGCAGAACACATATCCACCAATCTCCCCTTCCCATTAAGCTTCGATCCATTCGTAAATGCGTTAAAGGGACTCCGTTTCCAAATGCTGCTCTCCTCTTAGTGTTCCCTCGCCGGCATATGGGTGGTGAAAGAGCCCTTCAGACCCAAATTCAGCGTGCAGTGGTCTGTTCGAAATGGTATTTAATAACTCGAAGCTCGAATTTTCGCCTAAATAAATGAGGTAATAATAATTTTAAATATTATTAGAAAGCCCGAATAGAATATATAGCTTCTGATTATTTAATAAGCCACATTGCCACAGATGCGGTAGAAGAGAAAGTTTAATAATTAATTAAGTCAGCCACAAAAATAAACGCAGATACTCTTGCATTATTTTTGCAGTCAACAACCGGCGGCTGAAAAACTCATAGCCGCAAAGCATCTAATTAAACAACCACGATTCATAACAACAAGCAAAACCAACAGCAACAGCAATAAATTCTATATGCAACATTTGTTTAGTGGCATTTAATAAACCACAAGCTTTTGTTCCTGGCTTAAATAGTTAATTAGAAAAGCAAATATCCACCAACAGCAGCAACAACAATGGCAAGAAAAGAGCAATGCACCCGCTTAAAACAACAAAAGAGAATGGCGAATGGCATGCTAATCAGTGCCAAGTCTCCTTTTACTGCGCAGCTTAGTTGAGTGCGTGGCACGCACAATACAAAATAATGTTGCAATATGTAGTGTTTTTTTATTTGTTTTACGAAAGTTAGGCTACAATAACAATATTAACAACAATAGCACACAACTAGCAGCAATGCTAATGGATATAATGAAATGAAATATAATGCGGCAACCGCATTTGAATGAAAAACTCAGCAATTGTTGCGGTTTTCGGGTAAAATTAGGTGGCAAGAGCGCGGGCGGCATGCTTGTAGCAAAGAAAGCTGCATTGCATTGCACGACTGGTGGCTGGAAAACTTTTCGCACTTATATGCCTAACTCCTTTAGTTTGTGGCGGAAAGGCTTTCATATTTCACTTTGAAGTTGCGCTGAGACGTCAAATTAGCAACAGTCTAAAATGCAACAAGTACAACAACAACAACGAAAATAATAATATTAATCCAAAACAAAATGTAGCAAGCTGTTGTTGTTTCTAATTGAAACAATGCGCCGTCATTTAATCTTCATAATTCACAGTGCTAATTATGTGCGCGACTAAAGCGACTACTTGCTGGCATTAGGTACTCAGCCAAGTGCAGACGGACATGATTTGCAACACACAGAGACTAGCCAGCGAGCAAGCAAGCAGGCAAACAAATAGGCGGGCCCGCAGATAGTATATACTAAATATGTTGCCAGCACCAACAGCGGTAGCAGTAAATGGGCTATATTTACTACGCTTATTGTGTTGCCTTTTTCGCAACCAATGCTGACCAGTTTGCAGGCACAGCCTTTGTTTATTTTGTTGCTGCTGTCTTTTATATCGTAGTTGTTGTTGTTGTTGTTCTGTGCTATTGCCACTGTTACCCGGTGGAATCTTGATGGATGTGCTCACATTGCCGCATAACAAACAAAATAACAAAACGTGCAACATCGCCTGTAACGACACCAAGTCCAGCACCTGCCGCAACAGCCACAAAAGAGACGCTGGAAAAATACTCGCTGCAACAGCAATAACCATTTATAGCACATTTCCGCATTCTGGTGCCCGCAGCATAGCCATAACAACAGCACAGCGACGTAAACAAGAGTGCGGCTGCATTGGCTTGTTGGTTTGTTTGAATGTGGCATGCAATGGCGATGGCAACCGAAAAAAAAAACTATTGCAACTATTGTACCATCAGCACACAGATTGCGCCGATTGCACCTTCTTGCACTTTTCGCAGACACGCTGCCACCGGATTTTAGTTTCGTGGCAACCTGCTGCTGCTGCTCACCAGCTTATGATTCTTAATTTTTTTTTAAGTTTACAAATACATATGTACCTACTCATACTTTTGCTGCTACCATTGTTGTTGTTGTTGATTTCGTTGCTTTTTTTTTTGTCTTTTCAATGCTTATGCGCTTTTTAAGCTGCTAACTACTTGCGCTACAGTCACCTCCATTGCTGCTTTATTGTTTTTGTGATTCTACAAAGTACACAGCACATTGTTGTTGTTGTATGCCTTCGCTGGCGGAATGTTTATGTGTTGTTGACCATTCTGCTCTATGCAATTTTGCTGCTTTAGCTACTGCGGCAGCTAGGCACGCGAAGGTGCAACAAATTTGTGGTCCCAGTTAGCTGCTTCGCATGGTTGCAGCTCATTTTACAAGCGAAAATTAATATTTTTTTTTTGTATAATAAATTTTCAACAGCCACAAAAGTATTCGTGGCATTCAACACGCGCGTTGTTATTTGGTTAACGAATGCGTGTGCTAGCACTTTCCTGATCCAGCGGCTGCTGCTGATGCGGCTGTGAGTGGCTGCAACATTCGTATTTTATACTATGCACAACTTTTCTCCTTTTTCTTCTTACCACTCTACTTCGGCAACTAAGAATTTATTTCCATTCTCTTCTTGCATGCCATTAAGCGCAACGCATTTACCGCTGCGTTTTTTCTTTGTTGTAGCCATAAAATGTGGCACTGCAAATGCAACATTCACATGCCACAACCACTTACCGCTAACTTTCAACCGCAAACTAATAAACTGAAATAAAATAGCTGTGATGCGAAAAAACTTGCTGCGAGCAAAGAAAGAATTACAGTCGATTTGCACAGACATTTCAAATTTTGCTTGAAATCCATTTGCTTTGGCTCATATCCGTACATCTGTGAGAGACGTTGCCATGCGAAACGGATGAAAAACTTTAAACTTTTTCATGTCAAAGTTCAATTGAAAACTAACTAAAAAGTAAGTTACTTAGTTAATACGTAACAACTTACTGCAACATGTTGCTGAAAACCGTACACAGCACACAAAACATAAATAAACTTTCGAAAATTTGAATTTTCAGCCAACAGCGGCGGTAAATGTCAAGTAGCTGACTGTTTACCTAAAAAATTAAAATGTCACGCCTGCCCACCTTGGGAGCAAACTCTATGCCGACTACATGCTGATTCAGATCAGCAACATGTTGCACATTTTAAAACGCAGTTCACAGAGGCTGTTAACAGCTTTTCTTCTACATATGTATGTACATACATAGGTACATAGAGTAAAATTTTAATGCCATTTATGTATGTGCGCGCGTTAAAGGAGCTTTACTACAATTTGCCCCTTTTACGCGCGCGACCTTTTCCAAGCCGTAGAAATATCATGTCTCAGTTGGTTGTATACTGAATGTGGCACTTTACTTCCAGTACTTTACTACACTCTATTTGCTACGAATACATTTTTTGTTGGTCGTTCGGTCGTTCTTATCCATTTTGTCATCTATTGTGCATGCCAAAGTGGCCTCAGCTGCTCCGAACTGATGCTGTCATACATTTACAAGCATGTCCATATGTACGACGATGACAGGAGAAAGTTAAACAACTCTTTGCAAGTCAATTTATTGGCTTTTATGTAAATTGTTAAAAGGGAAAAATTTTTAGCGAAAAGTACAAAAAAGAAAAAAAAATCGAAATTAAAAGTACGAGTATATTTTCACATTTTCGCAGGTATCATTAGATACTAATCAATATTGAATGATGGAAATTTGTCAAGGCAATAACATTAGGTATCTATGAAAAATTTGAGGATGCATTTAAATATTAATGATATTAAAAGCATGAGATTATTGGCAAATCGAAAGGCGCCATCATTTTGTATATTTTAAAGCCGCTATTGATAGCGCAAAGAGAAGGTCTCTGCCTAAATTTGGCATCCCCGCATAAATAATGTAGCACACGGCGAATAAAATCAACCAAAAATCGGTTAATATTACCAAAGTCAAGCTTCAAGAGAAATCAAAGTTATTTTTGTTTAATATTAATAATGCCATGGTTGATATTTTCAACAATAATTTGGTAATATTAACCACTGTTTACATTAAACAAATTTTTGGTTGTCGATGTTTTCGTTTGAATACGCTTATGTTCTGTCCGCATAGATTTATATTATCTAAGCACGTTACCTCTGACGGTTTTCGAACCCGAATCTGCTGAAGTTAGGAAATAGCAGCAAGCATCTTTGCACACTCGGCTACAACCGTTCTGTAAATTTGTCCCCGAATGTTGAACTTGATTAAATTTTCTTTGTCGGTTGATCGTGTGTTCCACTTCACAGATGCTTTTTCATAATTACGAAAAACATAAAACAAAACATAACATTATATGTCGCCTGTGACGGAATTCGAACACAAACCTGCCGGAAGCCAATGAATAACAGCAAGCATCTCTGCAGATGAAGTAAGATAAACCGAAATTGATAGTTTGGTACATTAATGACTTATTGCTCGAAGAGTACATCAGGATAAGTGTGGGTTGCAATAATCGAAGCTTATGGGGAAATATGTGTCCATTTTCTAGAATGAAACATACGCTAGAGAAAGACGCGCGGACTTTAATTTCAAGTAAAACAACCGGAATTAGAACATTGCGAACATGACTTGACAGATAAGTGGTTATTGAAGCCCTCAGATCTCTTAAAGTAATATCTGAACTGGTGATGGAGGGCCTTGTTAAACTAAATATTCTTGGTTTGACCAATCGTGTATGGGTTCCTTGGATTCCCGGGACATATGGGTAATGAAGGAAACGAGTTAGCAGATAAACTTGCGGAGAAAGGATCGTTAACCCTGCCCTTACCCGGCTGAAGGATGAAGCTCAAAGAAATCGCAATTGGGACAGTGTCTGGTTAGAGCATTCTAAAGCAATTTTAAGAACATAAAAATGTTTGGGGAATGATGAGCTTATCCAAGAATAACCTAATAATTATTACAGGAACTCTTGAAATATACTTTAGGCTAAACTATCACCTTACCAAACTGGTAATTTACTCGCAGAAGCGATGCAGATTTTGCAGGGCGAATATTGAAATGCTCAAAATATCTTGGAAAAGCCACGAAAACTTCAAAACAAAAAATAAAATTTTGGGTCTCATCAGCACTCGAAAAAATTTATTTATTTCCTTAAATCACGAAAATTCGGCAAAATTTTTCATTGTCCAGCTATTACTCGGCGTCTTTTGAGTTTATTTGAAAAAGTTTCATTAATATGTCAAATTTATCAGATTTCAAGTCAAAGCTTGTTAAATTTTTGGGACTAATTTCTTCAAACACTGGTAGCGACCAGTAAAATTTTTAAAATTTTTGTGGATGCCTTTTTGGTACGTAGAACCTAATAAAGGGTGCCCCATATGCACATTTAATTTTAATTACAAGTGATTAGATTAATGTTCGTTTGTTCAAGTACTTAGATTCGATGTGATAATGAAAATAATAATTTCACATTGAATATGATTACTTGATATACAAATATTTACGCGCCAATTATTGATTTTCAATACTTTTGAGTCTATATTCATAATAAATAAATACCAATAATTCGGGTGAACCATTTTTAGTAGACATAAACATAAATATTTACTGTATTAAGGCATGACACAAATGCAAAAGTAAACGTATCGAAAGGTTGCTTAATTTGGTTTAACTCAGTTGCATACATATGTACATTGCAAATGTATAGCAATTTATGTAAATTACCTAAGCTTGTACTCACGTACGTTATTCTTATTTATTAAAAAGAAATTCACATGCATTAATAAATAATTGTTGGTTGGTTGCCAATTAAACCTGCCTTAGGTATGCTAATTCCTAGAAAATCCATCATATAAAGTACTTGTTAGCTCTGATAAACACAATAGGGGTATTCACGATCTGGTGGCTAATTTTGCTGTTGTTTGAACGCATGAAACAACAACGATCAAGCTATTTATGCTATCTATGCACCATGCTAGACCGTGTGCACCGAATCGTGAATACCCCTAATGAATATCATATTTACATATGCATACATGCATGTACATATTTACTTTGGCTGACCCACCGCAGTGCCTACATTTTCATGCTTATTGCATTAAGTAGGCAAATAAATAGAAAGTTACAAAATATCGATAAGCGCACGTATTATGGAAAATGCCTACAGTGCATACAAAGTATGAAATTTCATACATATATATGTATCTTTTTTTTATGCATACATATGTAACTATGAAATCATAAGTAGATATTTGTTTCGTCATCATACACCTCCTACATGGACGTGCATTTTCCTATTTTGTTGGTGAGAATGATAAGTTTTGAGTTTACATTATATTTTGTGTACATACATAGATACATACATATGCGTTTGTATGCGTAGCACGGTTCTCAAAAGGATGCACAAACGTATGCAGGATTCTCATTTGTCTTTATCACAGAATAGAAAAATTATTTGAGCGTGTTGAAAGCAACATAATTTTACTAGCAGGAGTTCAAGTATAGTAAAAAAAAACTTTCAAGTGTGTGAAAGATACTCGATGCATAAAGTAGAGTAAATGTAAGGACCATTCCAAAAAGGAAAAAAGTTCTTGAATTTCATTTTTAAAATTATTCTGTGTATTCTCAAAATGTTTTGGTTGGCGCTATAAATAGAGAAAAGACATATTTTGTTTACATTTAGGTAAATGAAAATCACGAACATATCGCAGTTATTCGTCAAATGTGTATTAACTTAAAA